AGAAGGGAGGTATTATTGTTGCTCCTAATGATAAAGATGAATTGATCCCTCAAAGAATTATTACAGGTTATAGGATGGTAATTAATTTCTGCAAATTAAATAAGGCTACTAAAAAGGATCATTACCCCTTACCTTTTATCGATCAAATGCTAGAAAGATTATCCAAACATACACATTTTTGCTTTCTAGATGGTTATTCTGGTTTCTCTCAAATACCCGTGTCAGCTAAAGATCAATCAAAGACTACTTTTACATGCCCTTTTGGTACTTTTGCTTATAGACATATGCCTTTTGGTTTATGTAATGCACCTGCTACCTTTCAAAGATGTGATGGCTATATTCTCTGACTTTTGTGAAAAGATTTGTGAAGTTTTCATGGACGACTTTTCCGTCTATGGATCTTCTTTTGATGATTGCTTGAGCAACCTTGATCGAGTTTTGCAGAGATGTGAAGAAACTAATCTTGTCTTGAATTGGGAAAAGTACCACTTTATGGTTAATGAAGGTATTGTCTTGGGGCATAAAGTTTCTGAAAGAGGTATTGAAGTTGATAAAGCCAAAGTTGATGCTATTGAGAAGATGCCATGTCCCAAGGACATCAAAGGTATAAGAAGTTTCCTTGGCCATGCCGGATTTTATAGGAGGTTCATTAAGGACTTCTCAAAAATTTCTCGGCCTCTGACTAATTTATTACAAAAAGATATACCATTTGTTTTTTATGATGATTGTGTAGAAGCATTTGAAGTACTTAAGAAAGCATTGATCTCTGCACCCATTGTTCAGCCACCTGATTGGACTTTACCCTTTGAAATTATGTGTGATGCAAGTGATTATGCTGTAGGTGATGTTCTAGGACAAAGAGTTGATAAGAAATTAAATGTTATTCAATATGCTAGTAAAACCCTAGACAATGCTCAAAGAAATTATGCCACTACTGAAAAGGAATTCTTAGCAGTTGTATTTGCTTGTGATAAGTTCAGACCTTATATTGTTGATTCTAAAGTAACTATCCACACTGATCATGCTGCTATTAAATATCTTATGGAAAAGAAAGATGCTAAACCTAGACTTATTAGATGGGTTCTTTTGCTACAAGAGTTTAGTATGCATATTGTTGATAGAAAGGGAGCTGAGAACCCCGTTGCAGACAACTTATCTAGGTTAGAAAATGTGCTTGATGACCCACTTCCTATTGATGATAGCTTCCCTGATGAGAAATTAAATGTCATAAATGCTTCTCATACTGCTCCATGGTATGCTGATTATGCTAATTACATTGTTGCTAAGTTTATACCACCTAGTTTCAATATATGATATTATCTGTTATATCTCTATATGATCATTCACTTTGCTTGGTGATGAGTGCACGTTTTTAACGTTTATCATTTTGAGCGCTCCACCAAGATGTATGTGACATGGACGAGTAACCCATGATCCTAACTGATTGTGCATTTGCATTCAAAAGAAAATTTTAAATAATGCACAAATTTAGGGGGAGCTCTTGCTTATCACATACTTCTCAAAGCGACGATGTATTTCAATCTTATAATCATTTGTTGAAGCTTTGATCTATATGTTGTCATCAATTACCAAAAAGGGTGAGATTGAAAGTGCAACTGTCGCTGAGTGGTTTTGGTAATTCCTAACAACATATAGCTCATTGAGCTAATACTATTTCAAGATAAATATTTCAGGAAAGCTCAATGATTGGCATGGCATGGATTAGAAATGTGGTCCCTTCAAGATGCTAAGGACAAAGGATTGGCTCAAGCTCAAAAGCTCAAGACTCTGCATTTTACTTTTAGTGTTCAAGATCACATTGAGTCCATAAGAAAGCCAATACTATTAAAAGAGGATGAGGTGTTGCTTAATGGCTTGCTTGCTCAAACTGCTTAGTGATATGCTCCAAAGCCCTCAACCACTTTCTCATATCCACATATGTCCCAAACCAAAAGTCAAACTCGGCCCCACCGAAATTTTACATTCGGCGCCACTGAGTTCTCTAGACATAGTCATTGCCACAAAACCTAATCAATTCAGTCACACCGATGGGATCTCGGTCTCACCGAGATGGGATTGCAAATTCTCTATTTTCCTTCGTAACGTTTCGGTCTAACCGAGATGAGCGATCGGTCCCACCGAGTTCGCAATGCAAACTCTCTATTTCCCCTTCATAACGTTTCAGTCCAACCGAAATGAGCGAATCGGTCCCACCGAGTTTGCCTGACCAACTCTCTGTTTGCTTATTACCAAAATCGGTCCCACCGAGTTTGTGTAATTGGTCTCAGCGAGATTACGTTATGCCCTAACCCTAATGAAATCGGTCTCACCGAGTTGACATGTTGGTCCCATCGAAAATCCTAATGTTCACATTTTAAACTGAATCGGTCTGACCGAGTTTTCTAATTCGGTCTCACCGAGTTTGGTAAATTGTGTGAAACAGTTAGATTTTGTGTGGGGGCTATATATACCCCTCCACCCACTCTTCATTTAGGGAGAGAGCCATCAGAACATGCCTATACTTCCATCATACATTTTCTGAGAGAGAACCACCTACACTTGTGTTGAGGTCAAGATATTCCATTCCAACCACATAAATCTTGATCTCTAGCCTTCCCCAAGTTGCTTTCCACTCAAATCATCTTTCCACCAAATCCAATCCTATGAGAGAGAGTTGAGTGTTGGGGAGACTATCATTTGAAGCACAAGAGGAAGGAGTTCATCATCAACACACCATCTATTACCTTTTGGAGAGCGGTGTCTCCTAAATTGGTTAGGTGTCATTTGGGAGCCTCTGTCAAGATTGTGGAGTTGAACCAATGAGTTTGTACGGGCAAGGAGATCGCCTACTCCATGAAGATCTACCTAGTGAGGCAAGTCCTTCGTGGACGATGGCCATGATGGGATAGACAAGGTTGCTTCTTCGTGGACCCTTCGTGGGTGGAGCCCTCCGTAGACTCGCGCAACCATTACCCTTCGTGGGTTGAAGTCTCCATCAACGTGGATGTACGATAGCACCACCTATCGGAACCACACCAAAAATCTCCGTGTCTACATTGCGTTTGCTCCCTCCAAACTCCTCCCTTTACCTTTATGTGCAATGTTTTACATTCCGCTGCTATACTCTTAGACTTGCATGTGTAGGTTGTTTACTTGACTAGTGCTAAGTTGCTAAAATCTGCCAAGACTTAAAATTGGGAAAAGGCTAGATTTTTATTTTCTCAAGTAGTCTAATCACCCCCCTCTAGACATACTTTCGATCCTACAAGTGCTGAGTCAGAATAGGGAACTGAGGCATTTGACATTGATGAGCGACTACTTTGCCCCTGATGCCCTATTCATGGATAATTTTCACCGACGCTTTCGGATGCGAAAATTGTCTTTGATCGTCCCTATAATGGTGTACGGTCCTACGATGACTACTTCATCTTGAAAAAAGGATGTCGTATAAAGGATTATATTCTCTAGTTACTAGAAGTACATGGTCGCATTGCAGATGCTTGCATATGGCGCGACTGTAGATTCGTGGGACGAGTACCTCTAAATGTCCGAGAGCACATGCAGAGACGCCATAGTCAGATTTGCTACTGCGATGGTCGAACTGTTTGGACTTCAATACTTGAGAGAACCAACTGTCACAGACACTGAGAGGCTCTTGGCAATGCCTAAAGCAAGAGTGTGCCCAGGTTTGCTAGGTTCTCTTGATTTCATGCACTGAAGATGAAAGGACTGCCCAAAAGCTCCGAGGGCAATATTAGGGCCATTTTAAGAAGCCACCATCATTCTTGAAGTGGTTGGAAAAAAGACCTCTGAATTTGGCATGCCGAGGTCACACTATGTCATCAATGTACTGCAGTGGTCTCCATTGTTTGCTAGGTTGACTAAAGGGCAAGCTCCTCCTAACAACTATATTGTCAATGGGCATGAGTTCAACATGGGCTACTATCTAGTTGACAATATTTATCCTCCGTGGGCTACCTTCGTCAAGACAAACTCTAGATCAGTTGGTCAGAAAAGAGATCACTTTGTCCAAAGATAAGGAGCTAGAAATGATGTCGAGAGGACATTTAGAGGGCTCCAAGCCCATGTTGCAGTTGTTCGTGGACCTGCAAAACAATAGGAACCTGATACCTTGTAGGAGGTGATGACATGTTGTGTGATCATGCACAACATAATCGTGGAGGATGAGGGTGAAGATCTTGCCGGAGGTTTGAAATTTGAGAACACAGGTGATCCTATCCAACTCTCACATTAGAATCCAGCCACATTTGATGAGTTTGTTCAAACGTATCAACAAATTCGTCATCGAGCAACTCATAAGCAACTCAAGAAAGATTTGGTTGAGCATATGTATGCGGTTAAAAGGGATAACTGGAACATATATGCGAGTTGGATTCAAATTTGAACGATTTATTGTAGGACTTTAGTTGATTGTAATATTTTAATTAGAACTACCGTCGCATTTGAATACTTTCACTCATCAAAGTTTTGATATGCTATTATTTTGAGTGTTCCAGACTTAGTTAAAAAATAGAGACAAAAGATTAGGGGACAAGGTTGGATAGTCGCCTTCCGCATGGACTGGTCGACCGGTCCGCGAATAAATACAGTGTCTGTTTTGAGGGTTAGTGCTGGAGATGTACTAAGTGTCAACTTTAATCCTATGTATGTGTGCGTGGACGTGATATAGTTGACTCTAAATTATTTTTGTTTGGTGTGTATATGTCCACTTGATTTGTACACGGTTAGCAAAGCATGTGATGCACATCTCAAGCTAAATAGTACACGTCAAACCAAAATATATGTGATACAGTCTCGCCTTCTTCATCCATACTCAAATTAAGTTAAATCTTAAAATATGATACTCAATTGGTATTGAACCAATAAATTTATGCACTCACAATCCTTTGCAGTGCACTCACAATCCTCAGACAGGCATACAGCCGTACAAGTGAACCAAATGTCTTGGAGAGAAACAGCGTGTGCTTAACCTGATGCCACTAGTGGCCATCAACAGGTTCAACTTCGTCTGTCCCGTTGGCGGTCCCTTCAAACTTGGGCAACTGCAGCTGCCTCTTCACCAGGGCCGTGTAGATGCCGTCGCGGCCGAGGAGCTCGTCGTGCGTGCCGCTCTCCACGATCTGCCCCTCGGAGATGACGGCGACGGTGTCGGCGGTCTTCACGGTGGAGAGCCGGTGAGCTATCACGAGAACCGTCCTCCCTCTCATCAACGAGTCCATTGCATCCTGTGCCATATTGGAGAAGAAGCAAATAAATGGCAGAAATTTAGAACAGTTCAGGAGCTGGAAACAGTGGAGTGGCCATGGTACCTGGACAAGGTGCTCGCTCTCGGCGTCCAGGGCGCTGGTGGCTTCGTCCAGGAGGAGCACCCGCGGGTTCATCAGCAGAGCTCTCGCGATGGCGACCCGCTGCTTCTGCCCGCCGGATAGCCTGATGCCGCGCTCTCCGACTATCGTCTTGTACTGGTCCGGGAAGCCGCATATGAAGTCATGCGCGTTCGCCATTTTCTGCACCCACAAGTTACTGGAACTCAGGTCCTGCAGTCCTGACTCCTGAGAGATATGCTTCACAAGAGGTCCTAAATTCAGATACTCACAGCTGCGTTCTCGACGTCGGCGGAGCTCGCTTTGCCCTCCAATCCATATGCAATGTTCTCTTCAATGGAGCGGTTGAAGAGTGTAGGCTCCTGGCTAACTATGCTCACCTGAGATCATTTGGTTCAGAAAAAGAATGAACATTTGAGGAGGGGAAAAAAAATCTGAAGCCAGATATACAAGTATGGAATAAGAAAATTCTTTTAAAAAAACTGTGTAGAAAAGAGTTATGACTGAGAGTCCGCAATTGAGAAACAATTCATATTGTGTAACACCAAAACTTATAGGAGCTTACTTTTCCACCACCACTTGGCCCAACAAGTGCAACCTTTGAGCCTGGTGCTAGCTTCAATGTGATTCCCTGAAATATTGATGACACCCAATATCAACTGAACTGAGATACAGCATGTATGCTTACTGAAAGTGTGTTTCAGTAAGTGAGCCCAGTTATCCCAATCGCAGTGCAAATTCATAGGAAAGAGCATGAGAGATAAGCATGCAAGAATATATTCACCTTAAGAATCAGATGAGAACGACGAGAAGGATATGCAAACCAGACATCGTCTAACTCAACCTCCCCATCATTTTCACTGAAATGGAAGAAAATGCCAATAATATAAGGTAGTGCATACTCCATACGTAGAATCAGCCAAGAAAGCTAGTAATAGACAATGAAACTCACAGCAAAATGGAAGGAAATGCCAATAATCAAAGGTAGGTATTGCATACAACATAGGCAAAATCAACCAAGAAAGCCGATGGGCAATGAAACTCACTTTTTTGGACATTTGTCCCCAGAGTTTTTCATCGAGGAAATACGGTCAAGAAGTTGAAAAACTCTACGGCTTGAACCTGATGCTTTCATTACAGTTGTGTATAATCCTGACAAGGCAGAGACTGACGAACCAACTGCATATTCAAGAGAGAATGAGTTGTTCAGAAAGGTCAGCATACAAATAATCATGACAATGAAAACAGAGATGCCCCTTAAAACTTGATTGTCATAACCGACTTCTAGATTTCCAGTTGTAGTATTGGCAGAATACTGGGTTCAGTGAAAACAAAATTGATAACGCTGGATTTTGAGGGTCTCTGAATCTTACCTGTAAGGCTGTATAAGATGAATGACGTAAGAGCACCAGTTGTCATGTAACCATTGATGGTTAATTTAGCTCCATAAATAACAACAATAACAACCGACAGGGTTGATGCAGCATTAAGCCCTCCGGAAAATAGGCCAACAACTTTCTACAAAAAAAAAAGGCTTAGTCAGATCATTATGCAAAATGGTGCCATTTTTCATACATGAACATTACAGTATTCACAGCTTGCTTGAGACCAAGTTTCAGTGTCTCATTTACTTTTCCGCTATATCGTGAAATCTCATGAGGCTCCTGAGCAAAGGCTCTTACCGTGCGGATGGCACCAAAGGATTCCTAGAATGTAGTAGATATAATTGTCAATGCACAAATACAACTAATCAAGGATTCTACCCTATGGTTGAAATGAAAACTCAAAGTGCATATTTTATTGTTACTTTTCTGTAAACCGTTAGAGTAATTAAAGAAAGTTTTCACCAAAATTCTCCTATGCTCGTTAAGCAATCAACATCAGATAGTACAAACCTCAGCTATGGATGAAGCAACAGCAGCTGCAGCTTGTGTCTGATGTGAAAGCTCACGAAGAAAACGCCCGAATTTACGCACGACAGCTGATATCACCGGAACAATTGCAAGTGACAACACTGTGGAGGAATGGTAAATGAGATATGCTTGAGGTGTATGCTGAGTAAAGGCCAAGAACATGTAGCTGGTACTCACATGTTAGCTTCCATGAAGTTGAGAACATGAAGCCAAGACCAATAGCCGTGGTAGTCAGATTGCGCAGCGCTTCCGAAAGGTTTGTCGTAGCGGCATTCTTTATGATTTGGGTGTCTTCAGAAAGCCTGCTTAAGAGCTCCCCTGTTCTGGTCACATCAAAAAATGCTATCTCCTGTGGAGGCACAAGACACGTGTGCCGACTTGTTAATAAGAATACGGATAAATGGAAGACCTGAAAATCGAAAGCGTTTGATTTAAGGCAAATTTGGACAGAGAATTAAGGCACTTGCCTGGTTTATGAGATGACTGAACAAGTCATGTCTGAGTCGAGCCACAACTCTCTCGCTAGCAGAATTGAACACCCATGCCCGAAGAGCTGTGCAAGCTGACCTGAAAGAAGATGTAATTCAGAGAGAAATGGTTTAACTATTTGTACCAATTAAACTGCAGCCTAGCTATACATTCATGAAATGTAAGCTGAATAAATAAAAGATGGGGATGTTGCACAACAGAAAATCCCTCTATAATAAGAATCAAAATCGATGCAAGTTTCCAAGAAAGATATATACCCGGTTACAACTATTAGCACAATGTACAATATGGTGCCATTCACATCCGCCAGGGCTTGAGCCCTATCTTCTGGCAGCCGAACATCTCTTGACACAATATCGATTATCTTGCCGCCATATTTGGGCTGCAGGATAACACAAGATGATCCATCCTTTAGGCTTAAAAAAAACATGATCTATATATGCAATGTGACAAGAACTCAAACATGTGCAGCATTTTAAAGATGTAACTATGTAAGTAGAACTTGCTCTGATATTGATCAAACTTTAGCAAAGGGCCCCGCGTCGTCCTCCCCTTAGGGCGACTCGGGCGGTCAGAAACCTAGCCGCCGCCGCCGCCGCAAACTCCCTCCTCCTCTCCCTTCGCCGCCGCCGGAAGACGCTGTCGGGCTAAGCCCGAGGGCCGACGGTGGTGGCGAGGGATCTCCTCTCTCGCGCGTCTCCGGGGTGGGGCGGACCCCAAGGGGTGTGATGGCGCGACCGATCTGGGATCTGCGGCGCGGCGGATGGTTGCAGGCGGCGAGAGGCCGGCCCGTCCTCGGACGACGACGGCTTGGCGCGGCGGAGGCCAGGGCTGCGGGTGCTGCGGATGGCCCTTCGGTCGGCGGTGGCGGCTGCGGTCGGCGGCGGCCGGCTTGGCTGCGGTGGCGTGCATGCTGCCTTTAGATCGGCGACGGCGGCGTGGAGGGCCTGGTGGTCTCGTCGGCGGCACCTCCGATCAGATTTGTTCTGACCGGTGCAGCCGGCGGTGGTGGTCATCTCTTCCGTCAGAGGTGGTCAGCCTGAGGCTGGGTGTTCGGATCTCGGGATCTGTCATCTGGCACCAGCTGCGAGTCGGGAAGACGTAGTTGCCGGTGAAAACCGAGCCGACGGCCGGCGATGGCGGCGTTCCACGTCGTCACCTTGATGAAGGCATCGTCATGTGACTACCGTCGACCCACTCGTATTGCTCCGGGGGAAACCCTAGGATCCGGTGTTCCAGACCAGACGATGGCGGCACTGCGGTGTCGTTTCTCTCTTGGGAGCATCGTTTTGTGGAGCAGCGCTGGAAGTCAGAGGCAGGAGGTGGAGCGGCTTCGTCTTGCACGGAGCTTCGGTGGAGATGTCAAGTCATGCCTAACCGGCAGGTGCTACGCTTGGTCATGCCTGGTCGGCAGGTGCTACGCACGACAAATCCTCCAAGGGCTTCAAGCTGTGTCGGCCGGTAGTACTTGGCAGCATGGCGCTGAGGTGTATCAGTGGCGACCGCGACGTGTTCAGCTGTTTGCACGCAGGGAGGAGGTGTCGTTGGGCGCCGTGGTGGCGTCGACGATAGCTGGACCGAGTAAGGTTGATGCATCAGTACAGTTCTGAAGATGGAGCGGTGGCAGTTAGCGGCGGCGGCCTCTGAGAGCACGCCGGACCAGTGTGTGTCCCAGACCCGACAAGTGGCTAGGTTGGGGTCTCAGGTCTTAGATGTTAGGCTTGGCTGCGATGTCTGTTTGGTATTAGGCCCAGGCTATCTGCGCCCCTTCATCAACTGGATAGATGTAGCGACAATTTGTTGCTTAGACGGCGGCTTTAGTCTTACTGTTGTATGATTTTGTAAGGTCTTATAATAATTAATAAAGTGGCCGTATGCATCGCCCAGATGCAGAGGCCGGGGTCATCGTCCTTTTCTAAAAAGAAAAAAAAAGTAGAACTCGCTCTGTATGGAGTAGTATTTAATCCTGTCACATAAGAAGCAATGTACTCTGCTCACCACCACTTAGTCCTGACACACATGAACAAATTTACTCTGCTCTGCTCACCGGTCAAAACTGATTACTGAAATGATATTTATAGGTACACGGTTTCCAGGAAGCTACAGCGTTGATCAGTTCAATTAAAAGCTCTTGACGCGTAGACCTATTTATCATGATAAGTTTGGATTGCTTACAACGAGGAGGTTACTGAGGGAGGCGATGATGAGCGCGGTGGTGGCAAAGATGAGCTTCCACGCGTCGGGCTTTGCCTGCAATTAACCCGTTCGCGCGTGAATTCAGAAGCGCAACACATGAACAAAATCTTGCAGAAAGCATCGAAAACCTTCGCAGCGTGCTCACCAGTTTGATGACCCGGCAGAACCCCACATTCGCCGCCTGAGAGGATTCCAGTTAGACGATCATCAGAGAAAGAAAATGATGAACCTCTCAGTAGTTGGCCGTTGTAGCTGAAGAAACGGAGTGGGTCTGGGATAAGGGAGGCGAACCTGGACGTTGCTGCCCTCCTCGAGGTCCGAGGGAACCCTCGCCGTCTCCTGCAAAAACAAGCGCAATCGGCCTCAGAAACTGATCGACGGGGGAGGAGCCGGGAAACCGATGAGTGCGGCGCCTGCGTACCCCGTGGTCGAGGAGCGGGGCGCGGCTGCCGCGGGGCGCCCTCCCCATCGCCGCTTTCGTCTTCGTCGTCGTGGGTGGATGGCCAATGGTGTGAAGACGACGAGAGGATGCTGCGCCTTTTATACCGCCGCAGCGCCGACGAGCAGGCCATTGGCGACGGCGTCCAGCGCGAGCAGCTTCACATGTGGCATATTCTTTTGTGGTGGACTTTGCAGGTCAACCGGAGTTTCCCTGTCTCCCTCCTTGAAAACTCGCCACTGGAATGGATCGCGGGCCTCCGCGCCCAGCCTAGTACTCGAAATTCCGTTTCGTCCCTAAAGTCAGAGCACCTGCCGCTCGTCCTCATCAGAGAAAAAAAAAAGTCAGAGGCGTGGGCGTCATGCACCCATGACCGGGAGCACGTCGTCCGCATCGAGCGAACGGGCACACCCGTGGCAGCAAGAAGCACGCCTTCCAAGACCTTCGGCAGGATAGCGGTAGGCGAGAGAATGGTTCAGATTGTTCTCCGTCTGGAGACGTCATCACAATGTGGCAGCAAGAACCACGCCTTCCATTTCCATTCCATGTTAATCATCTGCCAGTGATCGGAGAAGCTGATTAATTAGTTCTCATCCTTTATTTATTGGGGGTGGCTACAGGTCAGGTGATTGATTTTGTAATTGAGGTCAGTGATCACTTCCTTTTAACAATCAGCTAAAGACTGAATGGTTAAATTCGTGACGTTCACGGGGGCGACACCAACCATGAGTAGTAGGAGCAGTACTTGTACCCCTACGTTCCAAAATTATTGTCCTAGATTTGTCTAAATACAAATATATCAAATCACATTTTACTATTAGATACATTTGTATCTAGACTAATTTAAGACAATAATTTTGAGACGGAGGAAGTACTTAACATCACGTTTAGTGGTACAACTAGGCATCGGGAAGTACTGATGCCGATGCGTGCATATGCACCCAGCCGGCCGGTCACGCATGTACGTAGATACCGTATACAACCGTATGTCCGTATCTATGGTACTATAAGTACTGCTGATTGCTGAATTAGCTAAACTATACTCCCTTCATAATGATCTAAACGCTTTTATATTTGTTTATAGAAAGAGTACTTATTAATTAGCATTCCATGCGTCAAAAGAAAATGATTTAGCATTCCACCTCTCCCACTCTACAATTCATTGTGTATGCGCATGTACTGAAGTAATTGTGTAGAGGACACTCTGATTTTGTTTCTTTAACACAGTACAATCATAGATACTCACATACACACATATATACACATCTCTGTGACGCACACCATACATCCCACCTCTATGAGCACCTTCGAGATACTGTCACTGAGCAATTTTAACACTCTAGTATAATTCATAGGCATATTATTGTATAATACTTGTGTGTGTACACTTACACTCACCCAATATCTCAAAAATACCTATAGAGAAAAAAAAAACAAGTAAAAAAATGCAAATACACATACAAATAAAAAAAAGCAGGCAATGAGTTACGGGCTTCAAGACTGATAGAGAAATTGACTGGCGCCAAACAGAGGCAAGTCAAAAAAATAGCCCAGGAAATCATAAAACAACACAAGAAAACACGAATATTGACAAAAAATCACCGGTTAGAAAATCGACTTACCTAAACTTTAAATTCCAGCAACTTACATATAGCTAAAGTGTTTACGCACATATTGTATAATACTAGCAAAAGGGCATGAGCATTGCAACGTGAAAAACATAATATCACACGGGGTTCAAGATTTCACAGGTCCAGGTCTTCTATTTGATACATTAGGCAAACTACGGTTTCGAGTTCAAGCATCGCCGACCCGCTCAGTAGCATCACTGACTTAGGGCATGTTCTTTTTTTAGCGATCCATTAGGGTACATTTTTTTGAGCGAGGCCCAGGCACGGAAGATGCATGATTGAATTGCCCAGATAGTACCGCACGAAGATTTAGTACCACCTCGGATAGTAAAAAAATATCAAAAAATCAAAAATAATAATATGAGTGAACGAATCAAAAAATTAGGGAAAGGTACATTGCTTTATTAGTAGAGGTACACACACACACACACACCTAATATTTTCACACATACACATAGAGAAAAAGAAAAACCGACTAAAAACACTTGATAAACAACAACAAATAGTACAAAGCTAAAAAAGACATAGAACTGAATTTTCTCTAAGGTAGAAAGAATTAGGGGCATTCATTTTATCCTTCCAAAAGAAAAAATTAAATAAAACATAATGACGAAATTTGCACATAATTTTAGACGAAAATTGCACTTTTTTATAATATGAAAGAATACGTGTATAATAGTGAATCTTTTTAAAAAAGAACTTTTCTAAGAAGGAGTTAATTAGTGGTGTTGGTATTACCATTATGGAAGAAACAAAATGAAATAAAAACAAAAAAATGATGAAAAACTTGCACACAAATTGTACTAAAATTGCATATTTTTATGAATGTAAAAATAGGCATGTAATAGTGCAATTTTGCATTATAGTATAATTTATGTAGATATGTATAATATGTTTGTATATATTTACACACGCACACCTAATATTCACACGTACACATAAAGAAATAGAAAAAACCCGACCAAAAACACTTGATTAACAATAATAAAGACCAAAACTATTACAAAACTAAAAAGACACAAAACTGATTTCTCTAAGGTAGAAAGAATTAAGGGCGTTCATTTTAACCTTCCAAAAGAAACAAAAAAACATAATGAAAAAATTTGCATAAAATTTTGACGAAATTTGCACATAATTTTAGACGAAAATTGCACTTTTTTATAATATGCAAGAATACGTGTATAATAGTGAATCTTTTAAAAAAAGAACTTTCTAAGAAGGAGTTAATTAGTGGTGTTGGTATTACCATTATCGAAGAAACAAAATGAAGTAAAACAGAAAAATGATGAAAAACTTGCACACAAATTGTACTAAAATTGCATCTTTTTATGAATGTAAAAATAGGCATATAATGGTGCAATTTTGCACTATAGTATAATTTACGTAGATATTGTATAATACGTTTGTATATATTTACACACGCACACCTAATATTCACACATACGCATAAAGAAATAGAAAAACCCGACTAAGAACGCTTGATAAACAATAATAAAGACCAAAACTATTACAAAACTAAAAAGACATAGAACTGATTTCTCTAAGGTAGAAAGAATTAAGGGCGTTCATTTTACCCTTCCAAAAGAAACAAAAGAAACATAATGACAAAATTTACATATAATTTAGACGAAAATTGCACTTTTTCATAATATGCAACAATACGTGTATAATAGTGAATATTTTTTAAAAAGAACTTTTCTAAGGGGAAGTAATTAGTGGTTTTGGTATTACCCTTATAGAAGAAAGAAAATAAAACAACAATTAAAAACAAATGATAAAAAAACTTACACACAATTTGTACTGAAATTGCATATTTTTATGATTGGAAATATAGGAGTGTAATAGTGCTATTTTGCACTATAGTATAATTTACACACATATTGTATGATACTTTTGTATATATTTACACACGCACACCTAATATTCACACATACGCATAAAGAAAAAGAAAAACAGACTAAAAACGAGAGCAGCGATATGGGTCATACCGGCATATGCTCCTGTTATCTCGACCGGACGTACTGAGCGATTGGCCACCTGACTCGTCATTTATTGCACCTGCTGTGAGCGCTGGAAATTCCCGTATTGCATTTTTTTTTTTGCAATCCAACTTGAGAACTTTATTCAACAAAAGAACTTCTGGGATCATCAGCCAGAAGGCTAGTGAGCAGGAAAGAGGGTCTAGAATCAATTCAACTTTCGGTAACCAGCAGTGTGCATACATGTTTAGCACAAAGATGGACCAATACATTGGCTGACCTTAATACATGTTGAATATGAAAAGAAGCAAAGGATGACACTAGCTCTCCAATTTTTAAAAGTAGCGGTGCCACAACAGATAAACTATTGTGATGATGATTCCAGAGATTGACAATCTCCAGGCAGTTTGTTTTTAGAATCACATACGAGAAACCATGAAGATTAGCAAAAATTACTCCATCACGCAACGCCAAAGTTTTCTCAATGAACGGATCTGTAACCCCCACATGGGGTTTGCTTCATGCACCCAACAAGACCGTGGAAGATCGGGCGACACCATCCGCACCCACCTTGTCGGAGTCCGTACTGACAGCAACATCAGTGTTAATTTTGACCACCTCTACCTCTGGAGGAGTCCATCCATAGCCCGGCATTGCGTCTCGGCGTTTGAGATGAAGCAGTGCGAGGCGTATGTCCAGAGCTACGAATACGTATTGCGCGATGGTGGACCCCCTAGGAAGACGGAGAGGGTAACAGATGGTCCATTGGACCAGGTGTTGCCTTGTACCTGGACGATGGTACAGAATTTTCCCCCATGCACCGATTTCATTGCGTGCGGCGCCTGCGTTTATCTCTCTGTTCTGCTGTTCGCTGTGATCTATGCTGACGGTGACGGCGACGGCTGCGGCGGATGGGGCCGTCCAAGTGGGTGGAGCGGTTGTTTTCCGGTCGATCCAGTGGTGAGGTGCGCGTCGCTGCCTCTTCTCGTCCCCTTCCTCTCTCCTTCAGCTGCGCTGTGTAGCAAAACTGTTATTTATTTATTATTTGTGCGGGAATTAATCATCTTTATTTTGAGCAAAAAATGTTGGGAATGAGCACTGGCTTATGGTAAACCAGGGTGGAACAATGTAATTCAACAGCAGCTCAAGGATCGTCGCTCAACACGACATACGGAGGAACTGGCTCACTTTGGTCAGAGCTCCTTATTGTTGCCATTGCGGTCTTGTATTCAGTACGGCCGGGGACACCTCATCATTGGTGCCGTCCATCGGAATTGAGGCGGCCGCGGGCTTGACGTCGTTGGTGGAGGCGAGCTGTTCCTCGTGGCGCCGGGCGAAGTATGCCGTCCACAGCGCGTTGTTGTCGGGGGTGTACCCCGGCTCGTTCCTCGCCGCCGCCGGCAACGAGGACCGGATGCGC